AATACTGTTTTGTAATAGTTAATTTTGAACAGAATTCATTGGAAGATTACCGTTGACAAAACGACGAGGAGGAGGTCTTTTTTTTTTTTCAAATTGCAAATTCAAATTATCGGTGAGTTTGGTGTGGTGAAATTTTTTGTACTTCCTTCCACTTCTTTTTGGCTCGTTTCTTTTCGGTGACAGTATTCTTCGGAATTCGGGCACTGCTAAACGGTTGCACAGGCCGTTAGCTAGTGCTACTGCTACTGCTGCTGCTGCTGCTACAGGATTCACGGAATTCTGTCAGTTTTTTTTGTCGGTTCTAAGGTATAAATTTTTTTTTGTTTTTGAAACATTTTTGATTAGTTAGTATGAAAAATATTTGCGCTAAAAAAACAATATTGCTCAGATTGCTGATTTTTTTTTGTTCACATTTCATTGGACAAAACCGACACAAATTGGATGCTTTTTGAAACATCTGAGTCAGAGGTTCTGAAATTGACCAAATAGTTTCAGAAAGTTTTTTTTTTCCAATTTTATTCACTAAACAATTTTGTAAAGCTAAATATTTTTTTTATTTTTTGTACAATTAAAATAATATTTCAGCCGTAGAAGACAAAAAAAATTTTGCGACTATTATTTTGAACAGAAGAAGAAAAAAGTTTAGACTAGATTTTATAAGCCAATTAGTTAGATTCATTAAAAAATACAAGACCAAAAAAACACAGTACCATTGAAAAAGAAAGAATATAAGATAAAAATTATAAAAAAGTTCGACAAATTAAGACAGGTCCTCAACAATGTCTTATTCTAAATTAATAAAACAACATTTATCTTCTACCTGATCAACTAATGATTTTAGCAGAATCTGTTTCAGATGCAACTATTGGATCTGAACGAAGACTGTATACGTTTAGTGTTATTATATTTGGATGCCAAAAGTCTATGCAGATTTTCGCAAATTTCAAAATTGGCTAAAGAATACTGTGATCGAAATAGGAATGCTAAATGGTTTCCAAAAGCAAATTTTGATGTTGTGTAAGTCACTCAATTCTCAGATTGGTACAAACCTTTCAAATACCTAACTGATCAGAAATTATTTTTTTTTTAAATTATTTTTGCTTGTACAACTACAGTTTTTTTCTAAATCATTTTTACTTGATATTTTATAACTGTAAAGCTTGTCAACAAAATAAAAGTTTTTATCAAAGGAAATGACCAATATATAATTTGTTAATTTTTGTTTTTTTTCTATTTGAAGAACTTAAAAAACTGTTGTTCTTTAAAGTGGCAAACATCTTTTTGAACACTGTTACAGCATAATGCAATCTGTGTAAAAGCAGATTAAAAAAATAGAAAATTATGTACCTGGTTTTGATTTTTAGATGTTTTTTAAATTAGTAAAAAGTGTTCTCAAAATTTCAGGATACAAACGGAATGAGTATAATTGTAAATTTATATTTATTCTTCTTCTTTCCGTTGTAAAACTTGTAAAACTTTCACAGATTTTTTAGAACTACAGCCGATCTTGAATTGAGCAAGTTTCAATATATTGCACAAAATGATATAACTGATGTCATCTTAGAAGGAGCAACTACAAGTTTACGGTTACTTTTTTTTTTAACCTTTTACACATGTTTTTGTTAGATGTTTCTTGACAAAAGAATTGAAACATTAGACTTCATTTTGATTACTTAAATCACTTTCATTTAGGACTTTCTCCTTAGATTCTCTTCTAGACAGAACAAGATATGGTCGTTATAATCTGGCACTTGTTACACTTGTTGCCAGATTTTTTGACCTCAGCACTGCGTTACGGTGTCTTGACGAAGCACGAATAACCAATGCTAAACAGTACAGCTTTTCTTGGGAAGATATTGAGAACGGTGCAGAAACAAAAGTCGGTTTAAAGGTCTTTTTATGAATCATTTTGTAATCCTTCCTTCCCAGAATAATCAACATCAGTAAGAACAACAGTTAGTTCATTTTGCTTGACCTAAACTCTGCAGTCTGTTGTAAACGAAGTTTTCATTTCAAACTTCCTAAACAGTGTTTTACCAAGTCATCGAACCGAAATTCCTCAACTTTGATCAACGATGTTTTATTCAGGAGAATAACTCCATGACTCGAGAAACTTTAGTACAAATTGTTGGATTCGACTGCGATGCTTGCAAAGCCATTTTGAAAATTTATGCTGATGTCATCGGGCCTTTTGACGAAAAAGCAGATTTAGAAAAACGAGCGGAAATGCAGTACAGTTTACTACTACAAACGTTGTCAGATGAAAACAAGTCCCTCGAATTAGCTAATTTGTGGAACACAGCTGAAAAGTTGCTATCAATGATAGAGCAGTTTTGTAAGGTAAATTTTTTATTTTTTATTTCAAATCTCTGTTTTATCTTAGTTTATTATTGAGCATTTTTAAGGATAGTGGTGAGCATACAGGTACGCTGGCAGACTTTCGGTTCTCCTTTATTGTTGTAAACGGGAGCATAGTGATGAGTTCGCTAAAGATACTTCTAAGAAAGTTAAAGCAGGAAGAAATATTACATCATTACGCTCATTACGGCAACAGTTTTGTGCTTATACCCAAGAACCTTCTTCGACTTAACCTCTGCTTGGAAGAGGTCAGCCCGGGAAATCTTTCAGTATGCATCCAGAATGCTCGAGGTTTATACGTCGATCAAATACTGGTAACTTTTTCTTTCGCTAATTTTGCCTTCAAAGTGCCACAATTAGTAGTAGATTAATTAAACTTCTTTCTTTACTTATAAAATATGTTATAAATTGTTTAATAAATCCGTTTTACATCTGTTATTTAAGGCTAGAGGCAGTCGAGACTGAAAAGAATCCATGCGGCTTTTGAATGTACCTGTTCTATATGTATCTTACACAGTTTTACTTTGAGAATCTCCAAAGTGAATACGTCTCAAATTGTGAAGACTTGCTGACCACCTAAGACTTGAAAATCTGAAAAGTGGTGTTTCTCAAAAGTGTTTTTGCTATTCGTAGAGGTTTGCTATTGGTGCTTACAAAAGTTTGAAAACCTGCTTCTCAAAGAGCACTTTTAAGCTAACTGTGCGATATGAAAAGACAATGACACACGAAAACGACGCCAGCTTTGAAGCACTAATAACAAATTTTTCTTCGAAAAAACAATCAGAAATCCGTGATCTTTCCATGCAACACTGATTCAGAGCATCCGGAAGTTTCTTTTAAATTCATCTTTAATTCCGAAGTATCTCAGCATTGTCAAGAACCCGGTCGTTATCAAACAGTAAACTAACTTTTATTTTGCCAAAGTTTTTTGATATAACTATTAATCACAAGGTTTCCTCTACGAATCACATACCTTCCTGCTTTTGCTTAGTAATGCTAAGCCAAAAATCCAACAACTAAGCAAAACAAGGACGATTAATTTTATACAGCAGAGTACCTATTATGTATCTTATTTGAAATAGACTGTTCTATCACCTCTTGACAATTCGGCTACTCTGATAATATTACCTCCCCCTTCTGTATATTCAGAATGCGCCCATAAAAGAAAGAAAAAAATAGATTTATAAAAAACAAGCCTTATCTAAGAAGTATTTATTTGATGACAGTTTAACAAAGAACAGGTAGTAAATGGTTCATTATAAACATTACAAATATGATACATTACACATAAAGATTTTTAATTGGTTAATCTTGTTTTACCGCCCTTCCTTCTTAACCACTTCTGTTATACGATCTCATGTCAACTGTAATAAAATTTTTGAATTTTTGTATCAGTAGTTGAACTACCAAAATAAGCAGTTTTTGCCGTCTTATCGTCTGAACTCAACAGTATCAAGGTTTGGGAAATGAGCTTCTCAACACACTCTTTGTTACAATCAGACTGCAGAGCCGTAGCCTCATTGCGCTTGTTAGGACAGATCTGAAATTACTATGAATTTCTGCCAACAAATTCGTTACAGGAGCTGAAGGAAAAATACGTGAAAGCTTCAGCAATGTACTTATGAGAAATTTATATCCTTTTTTGTCGGTAAAACTCATAACACCAGTAAAAATCAAAGATTTTTGTGCCCGTTAATTTGCAAGAATATAAACTTTATTACATTCATCCTGAGCAATAGAAAAGCGAAAAGCATCGATCTGAAAAAACCAAAAATTCTGGACAACGAATTTTTTAATTCTATCACCACATTTTTCAATCATATCATTTGGTGTTATAACAAATATTTTACAGTACGCTTTTCCAAAAGGTTCTTAAGATTTATGAAAAATCTAATAGCATACCTCTCAGTGTTCAAAAAAAAAAAAAAAAAAAAACATGCTATCAAATGACAGTCTGAGTTGGAAATATTTTTCAAAACCAACAGCAAAAGTAAAAAGGCTGTAAGCAATAATAATCAAAGAAAAATAAAAGTTTTAGTGTTTTAATGTTTAATGTTTCTCTTGTAATAAATTCTAAATAAGAGACAAATTAAAATAACACAGCTTTCATCAACTTTAATAGATTTCAGACACATTTTTTTGAAAACCTATGCAGCTAACCCCAGCGCAACGGAAATTTTAACCGAGC